AGTTTTAATAGATAACGGAACATTATAATATGGATTAAGTAACAACTGTTTAAGTGGACAAAAATTGCAAAATAGAAGTTGCGAAAGGTAAATTAAAAATCGAATTGGCTTTTGGTTCACCGCACGGTGTTCAACGTAGCCCCCCCTCCCTACCTCCCCTCCGCCCCGTACCTCCCCCCTACCCCACTGTAATTGCGGACGGCGCGCGCGCAGATTATCAGAAGCAAGTGCGTTCGATAACGCATGCGCACGAACGCATGTTATTAAATTTATTCCTTTTTCGCCAGAATCTGCATAATGAGGGGGGCAAAAACAGGCACGTAATCGCTAGATTGCACGTCGCCTTTCCACGGAGAAAGGCAATTTTTGCTGTTTATATTCACACATGTACATTTGATGAATATATTAAGACGCGTTACACATTTTATTTTTAGGTTAAGGGGAAGCCGGACGATTACACGCGATTATACGTTGTCATAGCGAGGAATCGATCGTTTTAATATGCGATGCTATATATTCATATAACATGTTCTCAGTTATTATAAAATAAGAACAGTATCATGACTGCCTACAGCAAAGTGGATCCTCTCACGTCAACGTGCTACAATGATCGCGTTCCGTTTGCACGCACCCTAAACTTTGTTTCAGGCAGAATGAATGCACTTGTAGTGAATCTTACTAGTAACTTAAAAAATACTTATTTTGAGGGATATTTTGATAATAAACAAAACGTACAGCGGTATTCTTACAAATTTTAAACACTATCAGGCAAATACATCGATTTTCAAATATTTTTATCTTAACGTAATTTGAGGGAATATGTTAGTGAATATATTAAAACTTAAGAACATGTTTAAAACTAATCAATATCTAAAAAAATCCAGGCCTTTTTATCATCAACGTAAAAACACGATAACTTTATCTCTGATGTACGACAATAATAATCTCCATAATAATTTTACGTGCATCCCTGTGCAAAGCCTTAGGCTACCAAATCTCCAATTTTGAGAGCATAACTTTTTTTTATCTTTCCATCTTTTCACATTTTTAACGTAATATAATTTATCCGGCTGTACATAGATATTGTCATTTCCTCAATTCAACGATACCAAGTCCAATTTATTTTTTTCCCAAAAAAAAAAATCCCGACTGCTACTAATTTTCGTACGTCATTATCGTTCAATTCCCCATAAGATGTGCTTCTGATGTTCGTGAGAAATTTTACTCTGTAACAGGATCATGATAATGTAAAAAACTTCCGCGCGTGTCGTCAGCGGTTCTGCAAGTAGTCCGTAAATTATGGTTAGTTTTTGGGCACGCTCGTGCAATGCAGCCTCTCGGCTTTCCTCCTCTACCCCCCCCCCCCTCGGCCTCACACCGACCCGGTCACAGACCTCACATCTTTTCGCCAATAACTATTCATCCGCGCAAACCCTTATTAATCATTTTCCTCAATACGGAAAAAAAACACGTAATAAAGATCCTATCACATCAGCTGGCAGTGAAACGCGTTCTTTCGTAACCTTAAAATTGACAAACCGATATCGTAAGCTATACTTATTGAAGCATGTATTGTGACTATGAACTGTTTATTGTGCTGCCAAAATTAATCTCGAGGGTTTAGCTTCGTCACAAAGGCTGCATGCCGGCGCGTACGGTGGCTATTACAGACACAAATTTATAATTACTTTTTAAATAGTTTTTTTCTCAGTGAACATATTAAAACGTCAATGTAAATAACTTGTTAGCCGCAATCTCATTTCTAGGCGATTGGATATTACAATAGTGTACGTGATTTGAGAAAGGTAACGGTGTCGCCGCTTTATCCGAGAGGTGGAGCCCATTAGCGGCAGCTCAGGCGGTGTAAGCGCACCTTGCCCACTCACTGAATCAACCGAAAAATACTTCACAATTCTGACGGAACATATGAGATGACACAGACAACTTATCAATGGTATTACATAAATTCTTCATATTAATATTTTAACGATGTCCAGTTTCCAAAAATCAAATCTTAACTCAGACTCGGTAACAATAAGACCAAGAGTTTATATTGAGGAGCAAAAAATATAATACTTCACTTGAAAACCGTGAAAAAATGATCCGCGTCAAATATAGATCGATTATATTATGACAAAGGAAGCTGAGGCGTGTGCTTCGTAATTAGATCTGAGGCGTATGCGGAACCAAGGCAAATTGAACCATGCGGTATCTCACGCGGCGTACGTGTATAATTGCATGAATTTATCAACTATAAACCGAACTTTTTGTGACAGAAGTTTGGCACGCGCCCACTTTCTATGTACCTGGATGTAATTTGTTCAGTTTTTTGTCGTTTCAAAGTTATCTTTCGTAACGGTTCTCTATAAGTAAGGTTCCGGCTAAGTTGGTGTATTTTTGTAACTGGCACTACTCCTAGCACTATTTAGTAGAAATAATACAATTAAACAGTAACCAAAAGATTTTTCAAACTTTTTTTATAACGATTTTATCGTCCGTACCCTTATTTTTTAATAACACTTACATAAATGTAAAGGAAACATAAGTTAATTTCATTCTAACCTCGAACACTATCAGTAATAGGTAATACAAAGTTATCGCTCCGAACAATAATCTGCGATAATGGATTAACGCGGTGGTGAATATTTATAAACACCATTATCGGCTGATCGGCACAAATCGTACACTGATTACTTTATTACAATTAGCTGCAGATAAAAAAAAAACTGCAATGAAATATAGTATTAGATGCAGATTAAAAATAGAAAAAAAATCTAAAGAGGATTTATTCAGTTAAAATTATTACTAGCTACAATAATGATAGGAAACAGAATATTATACTTTATTAAATCAATCATTATAGGTAAAATCCTTGTTCGTCTCAACATTACCGCTTCCATAATAACGCAATTTTAATAAAAATGACATTAAAGTTCAATAAAAAAAGCAACTAAAATAATTCATGGATTCAATTTGTCATAAAAACAATTCATGTCGCAAGAATGAGTGGACAGAATCGAGATATCAAACAATGTGTATGAAAAAAAAGTTGATCGGTTTTGCAAGCAAATAACACGAAGCATCAACTACTAGTGGCGTATAATTTGTATACCTAATTCATTACACGGCACAAAACAACCGCTTTTATAATAAAAATATTAAATTTATTTCATTGTAATTGCTTTATCTCATATTATAAATTGTACTTACATATTGAACATTCGAAATGGTCATAGAAACTTTTGTAATGTTAATTACTTTAATGAAATAGTATTTTTATAGCTATTAAGATTACATATGCACGTTTTTAAATACATTTTTTTTTTTCACAAAAATGTTGCTTAAATTAATTTATATAATTTACAAATGGGATAATCGCATAACAAGTTTTTTTTTTATTTGCTAACTATATGTTAATAAAATTCAACCCATAATAATACATATTAACATACAAATATATAGAAGAGAATATATATATTTATATATACATAATACATATATACATATATATAAATAACTATGAATGAAATCTTTAGTATGAGATGTAGACAAGAACGTTATTTTTTATTTACATACGTTATTTTATAAACAAATTATATTAATAAACAAAATTCCGTATTTGCATTTCGATTCGATAATTTTTTTTCCTTATATTTTATTTTAATTTAAACGCTAATTCTGATACATAATGGCTTGAATAATAATTTTTGTGAAATTATTATTATTTTTTATTTATATTATATATTATATGTATCAACTATGGTTTCACGTTAAAAACTTCGGTTATATTTCTAAGGAGGTATAATATTAAATTGATAGCCCCTTTTTTATATGTGGAAGCAAAATATTAGAAATTGTAGTTTCAGTACTGGCCGCCTACTATCTAAAGTTTACAAAAAAAAAAAAAATATCAGGTCTTAAACAAGTGACAGTATGAAATACTTCTTTTTTTTTAATTCCAGATTTTTTTTAATTTAGACGTGAGGCAATAAATAAATATGCCGTTTATTAAAAAAAATCTATTAACACATAAAATAAGTGTCCAATATTAAATCCTTTGATGCCATTATATTTTACAGTATTAAAAAAGAATTAATAATAAAAATAAGTTTTTTATATATATCTTTAGAACTCCAAGCTAATGTGATCTTACTTGACATTTAAACCGAAAAATAATTATTATCTAAATCTATGACTAGTAACCATTAAAATTTTAAATTCTAAGAATTTAGCATTATTAAAACATATTTAAGACTTACAAAGATAACGAAATTAATAACCGCTATCTACTACTTATCTATAGCCCAATTAGACTGTTATTTTCGAATATTATGCATAATTGAAGCCTTATTAAACATATATTTAATAAAAAAAACTATTATACATAATTAGTATAAATCTATAGCCGACAAAACATCTTATATTACATAATAATCGCTTTTGTTATCTTAATATTTATTTTTCAACAATAATTCAGCGATGAACTTTAACTATGAACTAGCAAATAGTTATTATAATATTTTTTTCCTGTTTAATCATTAAAAACAATAATATATTCCTTAATTAGGATCATTATTAATGTACTGTGACAATGAAAGCTGTCATTTAAAACGTGTTAATATTTCATAATACACTATTATTATTAGTGACAGTTGAAAAACACGAAAATATATTTTGGGTGACCTTGAAGGAATCGAGACTATTGTTTGAATTAATAAATCAATTATGTATGTAAGTGTTTCATTATATGTATGCAAATTTCGCTTATCAAGATGAACTTGAACATAGGACTTTATTGTCCGAGTAAAACAATTAAGCAAGCTATGTCTTTATACTTCTGTACTGGATTGTAATTTATAACGGCTACATATTATTGATAACAGTATAAAAAATAGTTTTACTTCTAAAAAAAAATATTATTAAACAAACGGGAATGACGGAAAGTATTAAAGTTATTATAAGTTTAAAAAAAATGAATAACACGATATTAAGGGACTAACCTGGGACAGATCGCTCGGTACTTCAGACTTGGCCGTGTTAGCGGCTGCCCATGCCTCCGCGAAGGTCTCCATAGCACTCTGGAAGTCCATTTTTGTTTCAATTCACGACATCAACATACCGTAGTCACACATCGGCCCTCGCGGGTGAGACACGTACGCTCCAGCCGACCGGCGGCGCTCTACTGCCGTTCAGCCCCGCCCAGCGTAACGCCCGAATAGAGAAAAACCGATACCGAGCAAGCCTCCCGTTTCAGCGCGAGTTTTCTTTTTTAAGCCGATATTTTAACGAGGTTTTTTTTTTCCTCCACCGAGCCCGGCCCACGGTGGTTGGGCGGCCTTCGGATTATTTACACTTGTAATTCACAGATTGCTAGTCTGATGCTTAATTTGTTCGCTGAGAGGGTGTTAGGCGTTATCTTGTTACGTGATTACGTTACGTGATAGCCGTCTTTACGTGTTTACGTCGGATGATATTATGTATGGGACGATACAATTGTGTTGATTTATAGTTTCTCTGTATAGTTATTTAATACTATTTAAACACTGTTAATTTATTATTCTATGAGACGTTGTATAGTAATTAGTTAACATTTTTAATTTGGTCGTCTAATGACTTAGCGAGTGAAGCCTAAATTTTGCAATTTAAAAAGCTATAAAGGAAGCTAATTGCAATATCCTAGCAAATGGGCTATGCTAGCAGCATTCTTATTCATTAAATAAATCACGCCGGCTTTAAGACTCTGCCCGATGAAGAGAAAAAAAATTGTCACGGCTTCCTATAATTTTGTACGTGGTCGTTTAAGCAGTATTACCTTCCGCTGGCGACATTTTATCTTAATTTCTATAGCTTTCAGTATATTAACTGTTGTCTTTGACAAATTGTAATGATGCTTTTCATACGACAATTTTTATTTCGTTATTAAATATTCTATTAGTATACTGTACTAACGATATTAATTTAGACTGTGGCTATGTTTTATATGTATAAATATAAAATATTATAGTAATTATTATTAGTAATATGTTACAGGAGGTCCAAGTAAGTAGGGCAAGCTTTGTATCGATTCGGAGGATAAAACAATGGTCGACTGGTTCATTGTGAACCGTTTTGTTCACAGATAACTTTTATATGATGACGTCTCTTGATAACAATTAACATCCCTTCGGGTTTATACAGAGACACTTGATAACATCTCATCACTTGATCTATAAATAAATATTTGACATACATATATCTATAATACATACAGAATAAAATTTACTCACACATTATATGATAATTCCTTTAAGTAACTTGATATGTGATGCGTGGAGTAAATTTTATATATAAATAAATAGTTATACAAAAATGAAATTAACGTACTTCGTTAAGCCGATAGATATAGAAAAGAAACGACTTTCTTACCAAATCTAAAAGATTGTTAAATAATATACCCAATAAATAATAAATAATATTTATTTTACATGTATATCATAAAAAGTTGAATGAAACAATAATATTTTGCCACAATACATAATTAATTAATATCATAGAAAACATATTGAAGTTAATGTTAAAATTATATATTTTGTTACTTATACCAAGTAGAGTAAAAAAATTAGGACATATGCTTTATTTTATATACAAAAATAATTATGATATGAATATCTGTCTGTATATTAAAATAATCGCTTTATAATACATGAATAGGTTTTATACACGGTGTACAGATAGAGAGATGGCATAGTAATATTTCATTTAACTTTCTTTTGTTTCTGTTTATTCCGATCAATTTCGGCTGTACCAATTTAAATGAAACTTTTACTGACCACTCTCTGAATACAGAGATAAAGTTAGGCTAATTTTAGTTTAATTTTTATGAAAACACCGTTAAAGTAGCGGGATCAGCTAGTACTATGTATTATCACGAATAGCTCTTAGTTTTGTTTAAATGTTCGATGATAAGGTGCTTGACCTTGCACGTCAAACTCGTCTCCTAGTCTGCTTGATAAGGAATTTATCTAATGTACTGCCCAATAATCTATTATAATATACCAAAAATACCCATATTAAAGAAGTGATGCGAGTTTAATACTTAAATGTGATTCTTAATACTTTTGTTATTATCTTACTTACTATTTATATACATTTATTTTTTATATAAAAACTGCTCACTCTTTCATTGTATTATCAAATAAAACTAAATATTGTTATGACATAATTTGATCAAAACGCTAACATTTTTGTTAAAAATAAAAATTATTACGAAATACTTTGCAATAATAATATAAAAGAAAACATATTTTATCCCACTGTCGTGAATCTTAGAAGATGTCATGACAGAATATTTCTTTCAGGGCAAAAAATATACATATATGAACTTCCCTTGATTGGAGTTAAATAAATTGTAATCATTGAAAATTAACACAACACATTCTTTCCATATTCACCAAAAAACCTTTTGTTAATATAACCCATTGATTTAAAAATAATATAACACTCATAAATAATTAGATAATTTGTTAATAGTAATTATGTTTTATGAAATGAGATCTATTAAAACGGAATATTTCAAATTGAATCATTAGTAGAGAATAATAAATTAAAAATGTATGTAATCCATTTATAATGATATTTTTAATTAGTATAGTAGGTACATACTCAAAATAATATTTTTCCTCGGTTCTATTCAAATCGTAGATAACCACCGGATATTGTTAGACCAAACAAAATTACCGAAAAAAACATTGAGTCACGATACAATACTTTAACTGTTAAAAATTAACACTCGGACATCTTTTATCTTTTTAGCGTCTGTTTCTATTTTAGTTGCGTATTTGTTAAGCATATTAACGTGTAACGGCGATCGAATGTAGTCCTTATTACAATGGGTTAAGGTTCATGTGAATGAAGTTTTTCAACCTCATTTATATACATACATTTTTCCATGAGTTTAATTTGTGAATTCTTAATACAATCAACCTAATTGGTTTCAGCGGAGACAGAAAACTTTTCGTGATGTAATATATTGTCTTTACCGGGACTAGTTAATAAAACGAACATCGTTTATTTTGAGCTTATTGAAATATCTCGATATATTTCACTTATTATTTTATTAGAGTAATATTAAATAAATTTCATTTTACATATGACTCTATTACAGAACCTTAATCGTAATCAACCGTTAATACAATAACAATATATATCGTTTCTCAGTGTTCTGTGATGTGCCCTATATACGTGATGTAGGTCAACGTAACTGTCAAATCATTCGCACACAGCTGACCCCGGGGACGGATCACATACTTTTCCTTACATATCCTTACATATCTTTACATATCCTTACATATCCTAATCCGCCTATATCCGATATACCAATAGCGTGAGCTAGGCGTTCCAGTAACACAAACCTCCTCCAATGCGGCTGTTATTAGGTTTATCCTTTATCCGGCAGATTAGTTCCTCTCTGTCTGCCGCGGGGCGGCGTCCGGCCACGCCCACCGGTCGATGCGACCAGGCCAGGCTTACCAGACTTGATACATTGTACCGTTATCTATAAGAGACGGTGCACGCTCATCCGGCACAGACCGGCACAGAGCGACACAGAGAGACACAGAGCGACACAGACCACCAGAGATAAGCGGAGACTCAGACTGTGACGTCAGCAGCTCTAAAACTAATGACGTCCAGCTCACGTCAAAAACTGTAGCACTAATATATAAATTAACAATATATTAGTTATATTTAATTGCTATAAGAACGTATACATTATTGAAGCTTCAAAATCATTATTAGGGTATAATATTATAGAATATTTTAAATAAAATCATTGTAATATGTATAGTATGAAGATAAACATGTTTGTTAGTGTAACTATCTAATCGCCAGCGAGGCTTTAACTCTATACAGGGATGGAACCATCCGGGGTATTCTTAAAGTTGCTCTAATAACTAAACACATGCTAAAACATTAATCTTGTTACATCATGACGTTAAAATACAAGTGTTAAACAGATATACGTTCTATATTAATAATAGATTTAATATTCATTTTATATATAGTATTAAAATAATTATTTTTAAGATTAATAACTGAATTTAATACCTACCTTAACAACAAACGCTATTTATCTTAATCATAAAATTTCAATCACCAAGATAATTTTGTTTGTGTATTTCTTTTAAATATCTGTATTTATCAGTTAATCTATTTTTCACAAAATTACTTATCTACAAAGTTACTATTCAAACATATACTAATTATTCTCCTCGTCAGTGTCATGTGAATGTCAAAATGACTTAACAAAGGCCAGAAAAAATATCAGTTTATTAATTGAGGTTTAATAAATCTGAAGGCACGGAATGAGTATTTTGCAGCACTAGTAATAACTTAGAATTAAAAGAAATAAAATATTAAGCAATAACCAGTAAACCTTATTAGATAATGTAAAGTTAATGAAATATTAAAAAAAAATGAAATATTAAAATCTATGCCTATATTTTATATATATTTTTCATGTTAAACATAACGATATAGTAAGAACATTTCATTTATCTGAAAAACAGTTTTTAGAGTATGCAAATACGAAAATTATAAGAAAAACCACTTCATATGGATATTATTCTAATAAAAATTTACATCGTTTAAGAGCAAGTCTGAGATGTTAGCGGGGAGGCTGGGTGGCAGCCACCCTGTAGGTATTTGTTATCTCGACAAAGTAATTCTATGGAAGATTAATTCCCGCTACGTTACACGCCATACAGATTATATTAACTATTTATGGAACACGAAATCAAAATCTGCATGTTTAATTATACTTCGAAGACAATGTAGGGCAAATTTACGAAAGACTTTGTGTCATAAATTAGTTTTAATTCGTCTATAATCGTTTTATTATTACCTAATTATATAAAATAGTGATAATTTGTGTAAAGAATGTACTGATCATTAAATAAAGCAATGTAATCGTGATATCATCAATAACACAAAGGAATTGTAAATTTCTTTGACTATATTCATATACAGGTTCGATCTTATATCAAAATGAATCTTTTTACATAGTATTAAGGTATAAAATCAAATGTTATTTAATATTACACCCGCTGAGCGT